TGTTGTATAATATGCATGCCTGCCTGTAGCTCAATAGGAAGATACTGTTGCTGTTTTCCAAGGTCTGTTCACCAAACCAACAGTGTGGAAAAGATAGGAACAAAGGCCCAGTCTCTCTGTTCCCAAGATGTATAAAAACAAGAAACTCCTAGTTTCATTTCCTGACACTCAACAGTATTAAATCTTCCATTCCATGAACATTAATATATCTCTATCATTTAGAACATTAATTTTTCTCAGCAGTATTTTATAGTTTTGGGGTTTGAAATTTTGTACATTTTATTAAATTTATGCCTAAGTATTTTGGTTTTTGTAGCTAATATAAATGATATTTAAATTTTCTGATTTTCTCTTTGTTAGTTGCTGTTGTTCTGAAATACAAAAATTTGTTTTGTGTATTGTCTTTGTATCTGTCTTATACCCTTGCTAAATTTACTATAAACTTTATTAAGGTATATACACACACATCCCTCACACGATTTTTCTGACTACACAGTCCTGTTGTCTGCAAGATAGGATAGTTTTTACTTTCCCTTTCATATTTTGCTATCTTGTGGTGAAAAGACTACTGGATTTCTTGTTTTATTTTGGATTTTGAGTGAATACATTTATGTTTTATGATTAAGTATGTTGTTAGCTGTATACTTGTCCTAGTGGTCCTGACCCCTTAAGTTGATAAAGTTTCCTTCTATTGCCAATTTGCTGAGAATTTTAGTGATAATGGGTGTTGACTTTTGTCACAAGCCTTTTTGACATCTATTGGGATGATCTTTTTTTTTTTCTTTTTTGGACTATTAATAGGACAAATTTCTTAGTTTAATTTTGAATGTGAAACCAACCTTTATTCCCGAGATCTGTCTCACTTGGTAATGATTATACTTTTCATGGAGTGCTGTATTTTTGCTAATATTCTGTTAAAATTTTGTTTTTGTTGGTTGGGGTGTGTGTGTGTGTGTGTGTGTGTGTGTGTGCGCGCGCGCGCGCGCGCGCACACGTGTGCGTGTGTGCCCTCACGTGCATGCTGAGGATTGCAGCCAGGACCTTGTACATACTAACTTACTGTCTACCCTACATGTTTAAACAGACAAAACTTTTTTGCATGTGTGGTGATGAGTGATGTTATGTAAACTTATTTTCTTCTAATGCCTTTGACTAGTTTTTTGTATTAATGCATAAGTCTATAAAAAATTTTGGGAAATGTTTGCTTTTTATATACTGAAATGAATTTGTATAAGATTGGCCACTGTTTCTTAGATGGTTTTTAGAATTCACTAGTGATGTCTTCTGTGCTTGAAGTTTTCTTTTTGGAGTTTTTAAATTACAAATGTACTTCTTTTCAGCAATAAGGGCTATTCAGAGTTTCAGTTTCTACTATTGTCAGTTTTGGTGATTTCTGTCTTTACAGAAGTTTGTCTATTTCATCTTGATGACTGGGTGTTTGAGAATTTTTCCATTTCATATAAATTGTCTAATTTATTGCCATAAACTTGTTAATAGTATTATCTGTGAATTTAGGACTATAGTGATAGCACCTCTTTTATTTCTAAAACTTGTTCTTGCTGTGTCTTTCCCTTGATCATTTTAATGGATTATCAATTTTATGGATCTTTAAAGAACCAACATTTTGATTTCAATGATTTTTCTCTGTTGTCTGTTTTCTGTATAGTTGGGTTATACTTTTATTTTTACTATTTATTTCTTCTACTTGTTTGGGTTTAAGTTGTTCTTTTTCTTGTTTCTTAAAATAGAGGCTTTAAATGTCAATTTTAAACCTTTTTTGGGGGAGGGGTTATCGCGGGGATTGAACTCAGGGGCACTTGACCATTGAGCCACATCCCCAGCCCTATTTTGTCTTTTATGTAGAGACAGGGTCTCACTGAGTTCCTTCGTGCCTTAGCCTCCCAAGCCCTTAAGAACATTTACAGCTATATATTTCTAAGCACTGCCTTAATAGCATCATATAGGTTTTCATTATTTGATTCAGAGTATTCTTTGATTTCTCTCATTATATCTTGATCTGTGGAGTATTTGGGGAGTGTATAGTTTAATTTCCAAACACTTGAGGGTTTTCCTGAAATTTTTGTGTTGATATTTTTATTTTATACTGCACATGGATATGACTGTTAATTTTGTACTGGCATGCAGTTAATTTGATGGCAGATCATCTTAATTCTTTCAAATTTTTCTTTTAAAGTTAGAATTGGTCTAGAGCAAGGGTCAGCAGAATTTTCCTTAAAGGGAAAATTTATTTAAAGAGTAAATCTTTTAGGTTTGCAGATTATACAATCTTTAACTACTCATTCTCCTTATTCTACAGAAGTATAACTTTGGCACATGAGCCATAAATTTGCTTATTCTTGTATCCCTTACTTTAGGGTTAGTTTTTTTTTAACTGTAACATGAAAACATTAAAATTGGACATATTAATGGGGTAATGTTATGTTTGATTCATTTTACATTGTGTAATTTTTAAATAAGGTTAATAGTCTTGCTTTTTAAATAAAATATGCCCAGTTGGGAGTCTCCATTGTGTGTTTGGGATGTTCAGTGAGATTTCTCCACTTTGGTGGTTAAAATTTTTATGTCATGTCTTCCTGCACTGTCTGACCTCTGAAATATTAATTTACCTTACAAATCTGCCATAGACGACTTGTCTAATCTTGCTGAGTCTTGTGTGTTGTGCATGGGCAGGATAATATTCGGCAAAAGGTTTAAAACAGTATCCCTACCTCTGAAGCATCTTTTCTGTGAAGCTTTCATTTCTTTGTATGTTATCCTGCCCTGCAAATTCCAGATGATCTTGCAGCCTTCTAAGCTCAGCAAGAGTGTGATAATTTTGGACTCCTCCTCCCTGGACTGTTAATCAATAATTTAAGTCCTTCAGGCTTCCCTTTGTTCAGGACTCACACTCTTGTACTGCCTGCTGTCCAATGTCTTAAGATAGTCACTTCATTTATTTTGCCCAGATTTATAGTTATTTATGTTGAAAGGGTTATTAGTTATAGACAATATAGTTACTTTCAAAACCATAAGTTCTCTGTGATTTTAAAATGGATTTCCCCTTGTTTTATAATAGAGAGTTTTACTGACCAGTCACAATTTTGATTGATGAAAATTTTTGAAATGAACAAGTCAAAGAAAATAACTTGGTATTTGAGTGTGTGGACATTGGTGAGATTGTGATCTCATACATGTTTTTTAATTGACCAGTAATAAATTGCAGTAATGAATTAAAAGCTGACATTCTACCCCCACACACATATATTGGGGATTGAACCCAGGGGCACTTAACTCCTGAGCTACATTCTCAGCTCTTTTTTATATTTTTTTAGTGACACAGTCTCACTGGGTTGCTTAGGGCCTCGCTGAGTTGGTGAGGCTGGCTTTGAACTCGAAGTCTTCTGGTCTCAGCCTCCTGAGCTGCTGGGATTACTGGCATGCACCACCATGCCCAGAATATTTAGTTATAATTTATTTGACATTATGAAGTTAGGTTTCTTGACATTATCAAGGAGACTGAGTGCATATTCATGATAACTATATCTTTTTTATTTTTATTGTGATCAGCCTTGTCTAGTTTGACTTTTCTAGATAGAACTGTCTAAATTTATTGGTGTTCTACTGTAGGAACACCTGCTAGTCATTTCTCAGGCTATTTCAATCTTGTCTTATGCTTAACACTTTCTTTAGTGTAAAAGAGAAGATCTTTATCTCAGAATCTTTCAATTGCAGGTACAAAATGAACTTGTTCAAAGTTATCAAACCAATTTATAGTGTATTGTCTGCTTGGGCTGCCATCACAAAAATATAGACCAGATGGCTTAAACAACAGAAATTTCTTACAATTCTGGAGATTGGGAAGTCTTAAGATCAGGGTGCTGGCAAAGTAGGTTTTATTCTGGGGACTTTTCTTTTGACTTCTTGGTGACTTTCATCTCTGTATGTGGTTGAGGAGAGAGATACACATAGACAGCAAGCTCCCTGGTGTGTCTTCTTGTAAAGGACACTAATCCAGGGCCCTAACCTCACTACCTCATCTAACCCTAATCACCTCCCCCAAACCCCGTTTCCAGATACCATCACAAAGGAGTTAAGAATTCAACTTAAAAATGGGGGAGCAAGACATAAACATTTCATCTCTAACATACATCAATTAAGAAATTCAGCTCTGAAGCTGAATTACCTGAGTCTCTCACTAGTTGTATGTACTTGAGTTAGTTTTTCTTTTCAATTTAAATCTGTTAAATGGGTGCTATATTCACACCACTGCTTATGAAATAAGGATTGTAAGAGTAAAATGAATTCTTGCATGTAAAGCATTTGGAATGAGAAGTAGCTCTCAACCATTGTTTTAAACAAAACAAACAAAAACATTTCTAATGATGATTACGTGGGGGGGGGTTTTGTTCTAATTTTTTGGTATTTCTGTCTCTGGCATTTGGACAAGGATACACAGGACTGATATTCTATGTGTACAATGAAGATAGACAACCTAGAATCTGGGAGAAAATTCTCACTAAAGTGTTTTTCTGAATTGAATGGAGACCAGTAACAAAAGATTAAATGGAAGTAATTATTAATTTTGTTCAAATTAATCTTTTAATAAGTTTTGGGCTTGAATAGGACAAGATAATTTATCTAACTGAAAATGTGAGTAAAAACCTTAGATGCAGTACGTTAAATGAGGACACTGTCTAAAAGTTGCTTTAGTTCATAAGATTTCTTTATGTGAAAGATTTCTTTAACATAAACATGTTGTATTTCCTCGTGAAAAAGGATAGATCTCCTGGATAGCATTTAGTCAACTTTATAATATATGTGGTGATTTGTCTGAATTAATGGTACTACTGTTTCTAACTTCCTTTCTGTCTTGGACTTTTCTCTATAGATAAGTTTTTGTTAATTTATTACAAACTGAATCCTTGCTTGCTCCTCTTATCTTTAGTCTCTTTCCAACCTGTCTTTATTTCTGCTGAGGTTATATTCTATTTGTTTTTCAGATGAGACCCTTTTTGCTCTTCCTGCTGCATCTGAGCCTGTGATACACTCCTCTGCAGGCAAGTTCTTTCTGCCAGCCTTTTATCCTCTATGTATTCTAACTTTAACTCTTTAGTTGTATTAACTCCATACAGAGTAGATTGGATTTACTGAAAATTAGGATGGTTCCAAGATTCATCTACTGAAAAAGTTTAAATTTGCATTTTGTATGCTCTGTCCAAAGGAGAAATGGGCAGAGCTTGATTACTAATTGGAAGTGTATAAGAAATTCTTGGACCCTTGATTTATTTACATATTGACCAGTCCTTTTTTTTCCCCATAAAGTTTACTTGAGATAGCCAACTTTAATGTAAATGAATGCCAGTCTGTGGCATTAAATTAATTCAGTGCCGTTTCTGTCAGATTCTATTCCCAAATCTTCTCTTTCTCAAAATCTAGTTAAAAGTAGCTTTTTTAGTTAATAATACTTAAGATTTTTCTCAGATTTGTGTCTTTGCATAGCATGTAATTGCTTCTGAAGCCATGTATGTATTTCTTAGTTTTTTAAATTGACAAATAACTGTATTTGTGAGGTACAGTGATATTTTATTGCCCAATACATTGTGGAATTATTAAATAGGCAAATTAGCACATCTGTTACCAGATAGTTTTCATTTATTTGAGAATATTTTAAATTCTCTTGGCTATTTTGAAATGAATGATACATTGTTAGTAACTAGAGTCACCATGCTGTACAATAGCCATGTATGTTTTATTTGTAGTAGTACTATTTTCAGTAATTCAAGTCTACTCATATTTATTGTTATTAACATTTCATTTTAGTTAACAGTGAGTCTTTACTAACACTATTTTATGAGTCTGTCATAAAACTTGCATTGACTCTGTGAACAGTGGCATTCTCTAACTTTCCTTTCTGTCCATGGCCACAGACAAAATTATGGATTTGAAGGAGCAGCCAGGTAACACTGTTTCGGCTGGTCAAGAGGATTTCCCATCTGTCCTGCTTGAAACTGCTGCTTCTCTTCCTTCTCTATCTCCTCTCTCAACTGCTTCTTTTAAAGAACATGAATACCTTGGTAATTTACCAGCAGTATCACCCACACAAGGAACACTTCAAGAAACTTTAAATGAAGCATCTAAAGAGTTCTCAGAGAAGGCAAAAAATCCATTTATAGATAAAGATTTAACAGAGTTTTCAGAATTAGAATACTCAGAAATGGGATCATCCTTCAGTGGCTCTCCAAAAGCAGAATCTGCCATACTAGTAGAAAACTCTAAGGAAGAAATAATTGTGAAGAGTAAAGATGAAGAGGAGGATTTAATTAGTAACGTCATCCTTCATAATCAACAAGAATCACCTATATCCCTTTCTAAATTGGTTAAAGAGGAGGACAAAGTTATGTCTCCAGAAAAAGCAAAGGACAGTTTTAACGAAATGGAAGTTGGAGTAGAAGCACCTATGAGGGAGGAATATGCAGACTTCAAACCATTTGAGCGAGCATGGGAAGTGAAAGATACTTATAAGAAAGACAGTGATGTGTTGGCTGGTCAAGGTAATATAGAGAGCAATTTGGAACATAAAGTGGATAAGAAATGGTTTCCAGATAGCCTTGAGCAGACAAATCATGAAAAGGATAGTGAAAGCAGTAATGATGATGCTTCTTTTCCAAGTACACCAGAAGCTGTAAAAGACAGTTCAAGAGCATATATCACATGTACTCCCTTTGACCCAAAAGCAACAGAAAGCATTGCAACAAACATTTTTCCTTCATTAGAAGATCATACTTCAGAAAATAAGACGGATGAAAAAAAAATAGAAGAAAAGAAGGCCCAAATTGTAACAGAGAAGAAAATGAGCACCCAAACATCAAATCCTTTTCTTGTAGCATCACAGGATTCTGAGACAGATTATGTCACAACAGATAATTTATTAAAGGTGACCGAGGAAGTAGTGGCAAACATGACTGAAGGTCTAACCCCAGATTTAGTACAGGAAGCATGTGAAAGTGAATTGAATGAAGCTACAGGTACAAAACTTGCTTATGAAACAAAAATGGACTTGGTTCAAACATCGGAAGCCCTGCAGGACTCACTGTACCCTGTAGCACAGCTTTGCCCATCATTTGAAGAATCTGAAGCAACTCCTTCACCAGTTTTGCCTGACATTGTAATGGAAGCACCATTAAATTCTGTAGTTCCTGGGGCTAGTCCTTCTGCAGTGCAGCCTAGTTCATCACCATTAGAAGCTCCTCCACTTAATTACGACAGCATAAAACTTGAGCCTGAAAATCCCCCACCTTATGAAGAGGCCATGAATGTATCAGGAATAAAGGAAGACATTAAAGAACCTGAACATATTAATGCAGTTGTTCAGGAAACAGAAGCTTCTTATATATCTATTGCATGTGACTTAATTAAAGAAACAAAACTCTCTACTGAACCAAGTCCAGATTTCTCTAATTATTCAGAAATGGTAAAAGTTGAAAAGCCATTGCCTGATCATTCTGAGCTAGTTGAGGATTCCTCCCCTGATTCTGAACCAGTTGACTTATTTAGTGATGATTCAATACCTGAAGTTCCACATAAACAAGAGGAAGCTGTAATGCTCATGAAAGAAAATCTCACTGAAACTTCCTTTGAATCAATAAAAGAACAAGAAAATAAGGAAAAACTCAGTGATTTTCCTCCTGAGGGGGGAAAGCCATATTTGGAATCTTTTCAGCCCAGTTTAGGTGCCAAAAAAGATTCCCTGTTGCCTGATGAAGTTTCAACATTGACCAGAAAGGAGAAAATTCCTTTGCAGATGGAAGAGCTCAATACTGCAGTTTATTCAAATGATGATTTATTTATTTCTAAGGAAGCAAAAACAAGAGAAAGTGAAACATTTTCAGATTCATCTCCAATTGAGATTATAGATGAATTCCCTACATTTGTCAGTTCTAAAACTATTTCTAAATTAGCCAGGGAATACACTGACCTAGAAGTATCCCAGAAAAGTGAAGTTGCTAACGTCCAGGATGGAGCTGGGTCATTGCCTTGCACAGAATTGCCCCATGACCTTTCTTTTAAGAACATACACACTCCTAAAGATGAAGATAAAATGCAAGTCTCAGATAAGTCTGATATATCAAAGGTGTCTGTACTGCCTCCAGATGTTTCTGGTTTGACAACAGAGATAGGCAGTATAGTTGAACCCAAAGTTTTTATGAAAGAAGCTGAGGAAAAACTTCCTTCTGATACAGAAAAAGAGGACAGATCACCATCTGCTATCTTTTCAGCAGAGCTGAGTAAAACTTCAGGTAATCAGTTTGTGTACTGTTATATCTTTTCACATCACTTTTTGACTTTGTATGAAATACTCCTTCTTTGTATCACGTAGTACATTTTATAATATCTAATATGTCACATTGATTAGAACTTTCCCACCATCTCATTTAAAAGTGTTAGTGCTTTTTCTACCTCTTTTATGCTCACCACACACTCTTGCTCTCAATTTTTCCACATAGTTGTTAGTCACTTATATTGCATCATTGAATTTAATTAGAATCAGCTTCAAAATCTGTTTTTTTCTTCAGTGTTTATTGATAACATGATGAGCAAGAAATACTAAGATATTTTCAGATGTTTATTTTTATCTTAGAAATGATTTTATATTTACTTTATAAAGAACAATTCTATGGCATATATTTTAACATTATTTTTCCAGTGAGATGTGTAAAGTCAGGCATATTGAGTGGAGGCATTTTTTTTAGAAAAGTGTAAATGAGGTATGCTATTAGGAATTCTTCTGAAAAGTTCTAATTCTAATTTTTTCTTTTGACTACATTTCCAATATACCTGATTTGCATAAAGTGACTTACACACTTTTTAAAATTTAGTATTCTAATTTGGCTGTGTTTTCTATTCTAAAAATAGGAATATGTTTATGAATAGAGATAGGTAGCACTTGCTACCATCAGATCAGTCTAGAAAATGTTGCAGTATTACAAGAAAGAGGAGATTCTAAATATTCAGGTAATGAAGTGTGAGCATGGAGACTTCGTGTTTGATGGATGTGAACATGAAGATGAAAGGAAAAGTCAAAGATGACTCCAGGAATTCGGGCTTTCTGGTGTGTGCATGCATAGACAGCAGTATGAGAAGCTGAGGTGTAGGGAACATAAGAAAAGTTGACTAAAGAGGAAAAGATAAGAAATTCAGTTTTGAATATGTTGGCATTGGTATCTACGAAATACCCAAGAAGTTATGGATATTATGTATACCTATAAACATTAGAATGGACTTCAAGGTAGAAACTAAAGCCATAGAGATTAATTGTGGAGAGAACCAAGAGAAAAGAAAGATTTAATATTAAAGAAATAATCAGCATTATAAAATCTAGATTGGTCAGTTAAGCTAAGGATTGAAAGTTTGTCAAAATGGAGGGAAAGAGTTGGTTTTACAACAGCAAATGATTTAGGGAAGGGCTAGGCTTGAGTGAATGTTAGAGCAAATGGATGTAAATGTTGACTATTTTATTTTGAGAAGTGAAGGAAAGTGTTAGCAATCAGAAGAGAGTATGAGGTTGAAGAAGGGCAATTTTTTCGAGGAGGGAAAGTGTGATCCCAGGTGCTGGTATAGAGTCTAAGGGTAGATTGTAGAGCCCAGGTGGAAGAATTAGTCTTAGAGAGGAAGAATGATAGTGCTTTGTAGTGAATGGAAAGTTTAGGTGTTGATACTGCTGGAAATTTGTGGCTGGAAGTTTGAGAGAATTATTTAATGGTTAACATTTATTGTTTGAAGCAGCAGTGTGTGTTAGGTCCTTTGCTGAGAATGAACTGGAACATGCTTGGGTGGAGTAGATATGAAATACTTTCTGACTAGGGAAACATTCTTTATGTTAAGAACTCGTAAAGATTGAAGGATGATAAATATCCTGGGTATGGGTTCAGAGAAAGCAAATGGTTGCATTGACTTAAGGTTGTGTTTTGCTAGGTGTGCTCAGTGGAAGGACAGTGAGTCAAGAGAGTTATGGATAGTAGCAAAGAACAGTTGAAAGTGATGGACTATGGCATATAAGTTGAGGAAATGAAAAGAAGGCATTGATAGGAAGAGAGTAGGTCATTGAACTTGAGGTCCAAATTAGATCTAAGAACCCAAAGTGGTGGCAATAAAAATGTGACTGCCAAAATGTTGTGGTCAGTTTAGTGTTGTGAGTGTATGTGGCTGGGTGTGTTGGATGTTGAATTTGGAATTTCAGAACAATAGCTGTTCAATTTGAATACAAATGGTCAATGTTTGCCCGGGAGACAAGGCCTACAGTGGAGCTGAGTAAAGGTTGCTAGAGTCTGAATTACATTCTGGAAAGTCACCCATGATAATGACCTGACTTAGATGGAGAAGAAGATTAGGAATTAGGGACATTAGTCTTTGGTAAAGGACAGTGAGACAGACAACTGACAAGATAGTAGATGAGAGCAATTAGGAAGGATAGAAAATGACATAACTGAATAGTCAAGGTCTGTTTAATAATTGTCTGGATGTCGCAATGGTGAGCAGAGGGTACTACCTCTCCCTCATTTAGATGTAGAATATAGGAGAGCACACAGCCTCCATTTAGAAAGTTCTACTGGAAAAGCAGTATCCATCCTCAAGGAAGAGTCAGGTTTTGGTGAAGGTGAGGTAATGCATTCATCAAGTTGTAAAGAAGTTAAGGATTATGAGAGCTGGTTCATGTGGAAGGTGGGTTTCACAAACGTGGGAAAGTGTTTTGGGAGGGATCAATGGAAGGACAATACCTGAGAAGCCCAGTACAATGTGTTGATGATAATGTGGGTAAAGACCAAGGAGAAACTAGGATATGAGCAGGACTGAAAGGCTTCTGATGAATCCAGCACTGCCTGAAAACTTAAAGCTTCTAGTCCTCTGGTAGATGGAAGCTCCCGGGAGTTTCAGGAATTGACTGTTTCTTGGATTGATTTTACTAAACTTCTAGAGATCTATGGCCTAATAGGTTAAGGGAAAAATAGGGGCCATTGCCATGGAAGGTTTAGTGGTGTTGGCTGATTGAATAAAGTTTAAGTAATGCTTGGGCTTTTTTTCTTTCTTTTCTTTTTTTAAGGAAAATTAATTATTTATGCCTTTTCTCTGAGAAGATTGTTATTCATGACTTTCTTATTCAAGGTTTTTTTTCTTTTTTTTTTTTTTGTTTTCTTCCCCTGCTTCTCCCACCCTCCCCCTTTTCCTCCTTTCTTGGATTAAATTGTATATATTTATAAGATACAGCATGATACTTTGATAAATAATATATAATGTGTACTGACTGAATAGAGTAATTTGGATGCGCTAAATGTGTATATTCTTGAAAAACTATGGGAAGGAAATCAAGTGTTGGTATAATGAAAATAACGAGTGACATTAGTTCTAGTCTTGGCTGTACCACTGACAATCACTTCATCTTTCTTCATATCACTTTTTATAAAAGGAATGGGGTGAGATTAGATCTTTACAACTTGATAATTTCCTTCTTTGTAAAGCCATCTGTTAGAAACAGTTACTTATTTCAAGCATTGTGCTAGGGTTTTTTTTGGTGGGAGAGAGAAAAATAAATAAGAAATCTTGCCCTAATATAACTTTCAATTGGTAGAGAGAGACTGGTTAAGGACAGAACTACATTGTGATACATGTTATAATGGATACAGTCATTTACTTCCCTGTTTTCCCAAAAGTATGGACTAAGCATACTGAAGTCAGACGTAACAGCATATGTACCATTAGACTAATAATATAGGCTCAAATGGCTTAAGAACTTTACAGCATTCCTAATTATGATATATAGGAAATTTTGTTTTTTGCAGTGCTGGGGATTGAACCCAGGGCTTCACACATACTAGGCAAAAACACTCCAGTTTGGGTTTTTTTTTTTTTCCAAATGTCCAAGTCTTATTATTGTTTTTATATTTAATGTTTTTTTAACACTGATAGATATTAGATAACAAAATGTCAATTTCCTCAGGTCATTTATTATCTCAAATTTTTGTTTTCTTAAAATGACATTTTGTAGGCAGAATTCAGTTTTAATTTTGGAAAGGAAGACATAAGGAAAATGAACAAGGTATTATGGTGCATACTTTGTTGCTTTGTTACTTTTTTAAGTAAAACTTGTCAGGTGGAAAAGAATACTGGTCCCTCCCCTCCACTGTTGAATGAAAAATTTGTAACAAAATGTTCTTAATTTGAAATGTAAATGCTGATTTTTCTTAGTCTATATTTTATTTACACTATACCTCATCATTCAGAGTAAGTTTTTAATTATCTAGGCCCAGTATTTTATATTTGTTCTCTATTTAAATTTTTAAAAATCCTGGCTAAAAATTTATGATTTTGATACTTATTTTCCACTTTTGTTTTTAAAATATATTTTGAATATTATTAGCATTAAAAGTTTTCAGTTTTTCACTCACTTTAAAAAATAAAAAAAGTAGAAAGTAAAATACTTGTTAATACTTGCATAAATTTATTCTGTATCCCAGCCAAATGGGTAAAACTTCTGAAAAGAAAGTTAATAGACTGGTGGCACTATCACTTGAAACTTAAAATGTTTGTCAGATGATGCATGGAATCTCAGTGTGGCATAGGAATGATGGTTTATGGATATCAGCATTTAAGGGTTGTGAGTGAAAAAGCATTGGTACATGGTAAAGGAAAAAAGAGGCCAGTGGTATAGGAATGGCTTCACAGAAGAGGTGATTTTTTTGAAAGTTACAGATAGCAAATATGAGTAAATAAACCTAGACATTTATATGTGTGTACAAATAGGCATACAGAGAAGTTTTCCAGATTCTGTTGTGGTAGATACAATATGTTCAGTATCTAATCCTACTTACTTTGTAGCTAGGCACAGAGGTAGATTTATACACTGGCCACATGTGACTAATTGTGAAGAAACATTTAGGTTTATTCAGAACTAAACTGAAAAAAATCAATCTATGCTAAAGAAGGTTTTTGGTCAGTTAGTTGCTAAAATTATCTCTGGAAATAAGCAATAAAAACCCATAGTATCATTTCTGATTTTTTTTCTGTTTTAAAGCTAATTGCTTTTTTTTTTTAAAAGTTAACTTTTTATTGGAAATAATTTCAAACTTTAAAACAAAGTTGGAAAAATAAACAGTACAAAGAATGTTTTATAGCCCTTTATTTGAATTCATCTATTTTACCCCATTTGTTTTATTTTGTGATTTCTCTGTGTGTGGGTATATATATATACATATACATTTATATATATCTTTCATTTGTGATTGCTCTTTCTGTATAAACTAGA